TGAGCATTCTGCAGAGCACATTGAGAACTTTGAGTGCGTATCTATCTAGCAGATACGCTATGCGTTCTCGTGCCTCCTCAAGTTAGTGTAGATATTCTAAATAATACGATAGGGCACTAGTGTGTGACGAATAGGTTTAGTGGTTACTACATCATAACGTGAAAGTCGCACAAGCATATCGTCAAACGCCTTCCTCTAGACACGTGCGCCACATACCCGCAAACCACAAGCCGTGGTATGCGGGCGTAAGCCACAGCTGATTGAGAGTTTCTGACATACAAAAATGGTGGGGCATGCGAATGTGGCAAGATGCGTCCTATGTGTTTTACATGCGAAGCAATTTCTCAGTGAGCCGGTGACCTTGAGCGTATCTGTCTGTCTGTCTGTCTGTCTGTCTGTCTATGTCTGTCTGTCTGTCTGTGTCTGTCTGTCTGTCTGTCTGTCTGTCTGTTGTCTGTCTGTCTGTCTGTTGTCTGTCTGTCTGTCTGTATGTCTGTCTGTCTGTCTGTCTGTCTGTCTGTCTGTCTGTCTGTCTGTCTAGCGGCTTACAGCATTTAGCACTCCTGGCCGTCTCGATAATGCTGTCGATACCAAAATTTCTATGGTATAACAAGACTATACGATGAGCATACCTGTCTAGCCATCAGGAGAAAATCATGACATATATGTCATGCATGTCATGTTCTACATCTTATGGTCTTGCTGCTAGAAGAAAACTCACTATACCTTTCCCAGGCATGAATATTCCTTGTAGCGTCGCTCCAGGAGACCTGAGTTCAGAAGTGCCCTTTGCTTGCGTGTGCAGTGTGATGGTCACATTGCTGCATGGTTAAACATGTCGCGGTAAATTGAGTTTGGTCTCGGTGAACGATAGTTCCATTGGCGCACAATCCCACGCGTTGAGGTGTAAGAGTACCGCTTCCGTCATCCATTTGGTAAACTTCCAACCAGTAATAGTCAAACTGGGCCATGGGACGCATCCAGGACACGGTGAAGTAATCAGGCCCAATATCAACCAGAGTAAGATTATCCGCATCAGGGAGCACTGCAACATAGTACATTTATTTCAAGCCAATGCAAGTGTGCTCTTTTTTCAGTAGAACATACTCGAATAGTTCTTAGTCAAATTTATTTGGATAAGTGCCTGTGTTTTTGTGCACTACTATATATATTGAAGATGAATACAGCTCAGGCAAATATGCACATAAGTGCATCATATATGCATATGAACCAAATTTATTCTTTTTTTTAATAGGAGTGTGAACAAGTGGTAACCCGTACAGAACACAGGGAATGAGGGCTATGGTTGGCCACTGATGGCAGTTTATGTATAGCTAATTATAGAGTATTGCACGTGAAATTCTCTTCTACTTTCGCAACAAAAAAACAATACATACATACTAACGAAGGAACGCAATTTCAGGAGACATTTTTTCCTTTTATATAACGAAACTGAAAGGCTTCATCATTTATGTGCATAAAAATACCGTGTAATTTAGATGGAGGACGAAAATCCCGACGGCTGAATCGGTTAACGAATCGGGCGCTTTATTCGAAGATCGCAATTTCGGTCCCTGCCGGCTGTAAGTAGACTTCATCGAGCTTCTCGTTTCTTCACATCTATATTGAATTTACTTTAATATGAACAAAATAGTGCAACTAATGTTACAAATACCCTTGTTTCTTCATTATATGTTGGTTTTCATGAAATATATACGATCTGTACCTGTCGACGCACTCATTCATCTAATAACGAACCTATCAGGCGCTCTTTAATGCAGTAAAACTCTGTAATGTCTGTGATGGCAATACTCTTCGCGTTCTTTGTCTATTCTTGCGTATTGAAATGCTACTAAACACGAAAGGTTAGGGCTCATATGGACAGTTATGTTAGATTCAAGGGTTATTTCTCTAAGACTTACTTTTGTTTCAGAAAGCTTCATAAAAGTTGTTTCAAAACCAAACATTGGTGGTTCTTGAAGTTAAAGGTTGTATTAAACGCATAACATACGGGATCTCAGCTTCACTTCAAGTACACGACATTCAATTCTCTAAGCAGTCAATGGGTACTTATGCCAAGGTTTATCGAAAGATTGTCACCTGCTGCGATAGTTGCTGCACCTGGAGCTGACCTCAGTGCCGCGTTGCTTTTAAGCGTCCTCGCCTAGTCACACCAGCAGCACAGTGAACAAATGGGGTGGAATACACCACAAACAAGAACGGGTACATGCGATCACACTACATGGTATAGTCAAGTGTCGGATTATGGTTGCCACCAATATTTATTTAGTTAAATAACTCATTGCCTGCTACTGCAAATTATTCTAAGGCTAAACCCGCACAAATATTATGTCATATCGATTGTAATCACACTATAGAACGAATAACTGTGTTTGACTGTCAAATAGAATGCAGGACATACCATAGGAAGATGGAGTAACTTCTGCAGCCACTGGATGACTTCTGAAGACATGGGCCCCACATTCTGCCTTCGACCTCA